TTACTGTTCCTTAACTATTTTTTGTCAAATGAATAATGACAGTGTAGGTATAGGAGGCTAGGTAAAATAAAGTGGAACCAGTTCGACCTAAATAGCAACGATCACGTGTGACTTACAGGCAAATGTAAGCAGTTCCTGTACGCCGAAGTGTTTTCAAACGAATTCGCAGTAAATTTTTGTTATTGCTTATTGTGATGTGCAAGTGTGAGTGAAGACTTGGATTGCAGTGTTGGATACAAAAATGCTCGTTTGAACAAACAACCTTTGTGAGGGAAGTGTCGGTCGGGCGTCGGGATGTACGAGGTGTCGTGCGTGGCCGGCAACAAGGTTGACGCTGCGTACGCGGTCAAGAGTTTATCCAACGTGATACCACCGAGTATGGGGCACACTGTGTCGGTGCAGCGCCACCATGCGCACTCTCAGTCGTACAAACAGCATAAACCCGAACCGCCGCCCGTGAGCAAGCCGGACGCGATCAAATCGCATGTGATGCGTCTGCTGAAGCGGTCCAAGAGCCACACGCCGGCTACCAGGGCGGCGGAGAACCAGCCCGATCCGCGTACGGCTTTCGACCGCCGCACGGTTTTCGCGCGACCGGTCACCGACGAGCAGCGGCGTCGTCGGAACTCTGCCGAGCGTCGTCGCAGTGCCGACAAACGAGTGATGGTGACCATCGTGGATGGACTGCCGGTGGTGGTCACCGGGCAGAACCAGATGCCGCCGCCGCACCACCCGCCGCCGGTCACACACCACAGGCATTCTCATAAGGTAATCACTTGTGTTCCTAACTGGCGATGGATGCCTCTTTAACTTAGTAAAGCCCGATCAAGTTGGCACCTCATTAAGACTGATACGTGCATTGACATAAACTGTTAATATGGAAAACTTCGTCGAAAGAATAGCTCAATATTTAGTCATTATTACGTCAAATAATACAAAAACAAGCATTGCTTTTTATCCCACTACAAACAATGTTTATGTAATAACGAGTAAACGGTATTAAAAGATAGTCAGATAATTTTTGTCCTTCTCATATTTTTTCGACAAAACATCTAACTGTTAAGTATACATTTTGATTAATCGTATTAAAATGCTTTATTATATAGATACGTCTTTTCCGGGATTGTTGGGTAAGCAATCATTTGAAATACACTTCTCACGAAAAATCGAGACACTTAGCAAGTTTGCATTTTTACGGATCACATTATCTAAGCAATATGTTTATTTTAGGAATAAATACATGTATAATGTCGTTATATACTGAGTAAGGTTTTAAATCCTAGTGCCAATATTCTATATTCAACTTTTAATTTCATAGATATCAATTTTGTTTAATCTGAAAACGACAGAACCTTGAATTTTTGATGGGAAGTATGTTATTTGTGTTATTGAATTAATTGTGTTATTTTGAATATGAAATAGTGACCTACGGTTGTGTAAATAGCTTTTGGTCTATTATCATCTCATCATCATCTGCCTGCCCTTATCCAAATTTATTTGGGGTCGGCGCAACATGTCTTTCTCTTCCATTCATCTCTATCAGCGGTCAAATCGTTGTAATAGCGAAATTAAACCATGATTATTATATCACTCGCGTTTAATTGTAAATTGGTCAAACGCTACTATGTTCAGACGGAAATGCAAGAAGGAAGGAAACGCAGTTTGAAAACTAGTCAGAATAACCAACCTAACATCATCATCATCTTCCTGCCCTTATCCCAATTGCTTGGGGTCGGCGCAACACGTTTTGTTGAACACGAAATCGTGTTGCAAAGGATTTGGCTTAATTTTACGACCGGCTGCCTACCAGACGTCAACCCTCCTTGGGAATGCTTTTGTGGCCACCATACAGTTGGCCCTGGCTGTTTGGGTCGGGTTTATCCCTCGGTCGCCTCTTACGACCCCCACGGGAGAGAGGGGGTGGTGCTATTCTACTCTGCCGGCACCACATATTTACTAAATGTAGATAGATAGGTACTATGTTTCGAAAAAAATATAATGTAGGCGCATGCTTATAAAGGCTACGTAATTATGGCCTTAATTTGATAAACAAATTGCTCTACGTGCATTATAGGAAGCATGCAACGGGAAAAAATCTGGGGAATAGGTACGTTTGTATGAAGAGATGATGCCGGCTTAGAATAGCATCACATTTATTTCCTGTGGGTGTTGTAAGGAGCGACTAAAGGATTCGAGGGTTTCATGTGTATTGCAGTTTTAGGCAACAGGCTGATAATTGCCACTATAGCGATACACGACAAAAGCTAAAACGGCCCTCAAATATTTGTCAGATGTGGCGATAACGACCGTATTTTTACGGGCGTTGACGCTCTGCCTACTCCGCAAGGGATAAAGGCGTGATGTATGTATGAAGATGCGTAAAACAGGCATCACTCGGGTATCCTCTTAAGGGATAAGCTTAAAACTTAATCGTTTGGAAATCTTGTTAAAGATTATTCATAAAATAAGGTACTCGAAACGCTGCTGACAGTGCCTCTCCAGAAAGAAAGTAGTAGCGTGTGTAGCTCTAATTATACGGCTGAAGGGTATAATGCAATTTTCTTTGGCATGATTATTCTTTAGGTTACTGAGATGGATTTTCGAAGTGGGGCCACCTGGGTTTTTGCTGCAGGTGGGGGGAGGGGGAGTTTTAAAGTTCAGTTTTAATATTTTCTTTGAGTGATTTAGTTTATAGTCATGTTTGGTATCGTTTTTGATTAAATCATATGTCAAAAAGTCAATTCCGTAATAAAATTTGGGTCATTAGATATTAAAATTCAATTTTTTATCTAAATAAAAACAAGAATCGGTGATCAAAATAGTAAAATATCAACGCACAGATAACCTAGGAACTTGAATTATTGCGCAAAGGATGTTAAAATAATGCGAAAGAGCTATAAGAAATAATTTTCATAAAAACTCATCCCTAAAGGGGGTAAAACAGGAGATGAAAGTTTGTAGGTATTTTTTTATTTCTTTGATTAATGTCGCTGAAATTTTGTTCAGTTATTAAACATGGCAAATTATAAAATACATGTGTTTAAATTTTTGTAATTCACCCCTAAATGGGTAAAATATAGGATGACATTTTGTATGAAACCTAAAGCAACTGGACTATTTTTCTTAAATAAATTACAATACAAATTGAGGTGGCCCCACTTCTTATATGGCTCCATACCTTAAGGACCAATCCTTTCGAGAGGAAATCTTGTTATCAGCATCAGCCGTATTTTCCGATTTTCACCGGTGTACCCGAGTCCCGACTAAAGTCTATTTATTCATTTGAATAGGCCGGGTCGTTGGATGACTCGGTATCCCATATGAAAAGAAGATGGAAAGTTTAGTTTCCATAACAGCCACAGTCCACTGATGGACATGGGTCTCCCCCTATCGTGGGGTATTGCCATACTCTCCACACTTGGCAGGTGGATTGGCGAGCGCAGTGCAAGATGTTGAATTTACAGGTGATCCCTTAGTTACTTTGTACGACACCCACGAATAGAATTGGGGTGATGCTATTCTAAGCCGGCATCACACGGCAGAGGAATAGTTTGGTTACCTTGTTGTAATACACAGATACAAACTAAAATCGTAAACCTACATCCATCAAAAGTGGGGTAACGGCTAGAACTCACTTACGTTCGAAATGAATATAAACGGGTGTTTCGTATTTGTAAGTGGTACGGTACTGTATTGATACATAGGTACCTACATCGAATATGATACACGTGCTAAAATTGCAATGCTCCCGTTTCTAACAGCAACATAATATTTCGCTGTCTGATGTAAAATTTTACGAAATAAAAAAGCTACCTCTCCTGCCATATTTTTATTTTAGGAAGTAACAAAATGGGTAGATCAAGCCGTAAGCAGGTCAAAGTACTCATGAAACTGAACAACTTTCTCCATGGCACAAAGGTCGAAATATGAAAATAAAACCGTCCTCCCATAGTTAATCAATCAACTATCGGAGATTTCGTATGAGAGGTCCACATTTTATATTTCATATTTCGACCCATGTTTCATGGAGAAAGTTGCTCAGTTTCATGCGTACTGACCTCCTTTCGGCTTGTTATACCCTTTTTGTTACTCCCGATAGAACTAAGAACATCTACAATTTTAAACTTCATATTTCGACAGCAGAATACTCGAATTGGATGCAGCAGAAGCTGAAAGCTTTCTCCGTCTAAAAATAGGTGCGGAAACAGCGACGCCGCCGGCCGATTTAGATCGTTTCGAAATAACAGGGGGATTGTTTACTAATCGATGATCGTCTAAGGACATTGTCGTCTGTGCCGTGTGGTGCCGGCAGAGTAGAATAGCACCACCCCCTCTCTTCCCGTGGGGTCGTAAGAGGCGACCGAGAGATAAACCCGACCCAAACAGCCAGGGCCAACCGTATGGTGGCGGTTAATCCACCACAAAAGCATTCCCAAGGAGGGTTGACGTCTGGTAGGCGGCCGGTCGTAAAATGAAGCCAAATCCTTCGCAACACGATTTTGTGTTAAACAAAACGTGTTGCGCCGACCCCACGTAATTGGGATAAGGGCAGGAAGATGATGATGATCGTCTAAGGAATAGACACTGACGAATTGTAACATAACTTTATATTACTTATTTGTGTGATGTAATTTTGCATGCCAAATTCAGGACGGAATAATGTGAAATTTATTATAATTTAAACATCTGAAAAATCAAATGTACCATTGTACATTGTACAGCAAAATAGATACCTATTGTTTGATTGATTGAGGGCTTTACAAGAGACACAGGTTGTCCTCCAGATTTGTATGAAAATTTGGTGCTTACTCCTGGGTAACCGACTTTAAACAAATTATTTTTGTTGAGATACTTTTTTTCCTGGTCAGTTTGTACGGAGTGTTTTAATATTAATGGAGCTTCATATTTTTAAGGTTACTAATGTTACTATCCTTAAATACCAAATATTTAAAACACTTTCCTTGTTAGGAACACAGTTTTTGGAAAACTTGCAAAATTTTCATCGCAGGCAGGATTTTAACCTGCAACTTTCGGTATCTACACTGCCGACGACACTACCAACTCGGCTACCGTGGTTCTATCTTAGTGTACGAAATGAGCAAGTATATATAACGCGTGGCTGCATCTACAGGGATAGTTTTGCAGTTACTAAATTTGATTGATTTATTTATCATTGGATGAAAATTTCGTCACAGGTACATCTACAAACTGTTTAAAATTCACATCTACAAAAAGTTTTTTTTTTATAAATCACAACTATAAAAAACCATATGCATGATGGCGTAACAGTTAGATCTCTACGTACACAATTCTGCAGTTATCATCGCTTATCACGCGGAGAGCAATGTTATCGTTATCAGTGTATGTTTTGATAACATGATAACCGTGAATTTCACGTGTCGGGTAAACTGAGTGTTATCTACCATACATGGGTATTTTTAAATAGTATTTACATACTCATCAGTTAGTGTGTAAGAATGTAATTAAAGGCAGTTTGTGTGTACGACAAGAATAGATTTTATTTCTGTATAAGGTAAATGTACGTGTAAGGTGGTTTTGTTTAAACTTGTTCGGTGTTTGCTATTATACCGGGAGTAGCGGAAAGGGTATAACAAGCCGAAAGGAGGTCAAGGTACTCATGAAACTGAACAACTTTCCCCATGGAACATGGGTCGAAATATGAAAAAAAATTTTGGACTTCCCATAGAAAATCAATTAACTGATCGGCGATTTTGTGGAGGACTAAAATTTTTGCATTTCGACCCATGTTCCATGAAAAGTTGTTCATTTCATGAGTACGATCTACCCTTTCGCCTGTATGTAATAATTTAATTAGTATATCTGTGCAGTACGATGGCAGAATTAGGTTTTGGCCAAAACCTAGTTTTGGCAAAAGCCGGCATATGGCAAAATCGTAGACTTCGTTCGGCCATCGTCTAAGCTGATCCAGGTTTTAAAAACCTAGGATTTTGCCGAAATCCTAGATTTGTTTAGTATTATGGCTTTTTGTTCAGCGGAACTTCTTCTTCTTTAGTGTTACACCAAGTCGCTCAACGACCCGATGAACCTGGTGTTAGAGTTTTAAACCGCCTGCAAGGAGCAGGCCTCTGACAAGGTTGTTAACGACCTCCGTCTAAGTGATCATAAGAGCAATCGGGACCACACGGTTTAACGTACCCGTGTAGTTCGAGCATACACCTTGAAAGGCAGGTAGCATTGGATGTTCTAGGGAAGCGTCAGACGCTCTGGAGGGCGTGGGTAGCGTTGGACACTCTGGAGGGTAAGAATGACGAGCGTTGGATTTTCTGGGGTCCGACGCTACCTCCTGGTCTCCAGGGCGTCCAACGCTACCAATCTCTAGAGCGTTCAGTGATACGTCCTGCTCTTATGGTGTCTGGTGCTCCCCTGCCCTTCAGGGAATCGAGGCAATCCTGCTGTCTGATGTTACCCCGTCTTTCAGGGTGTCCATTTACGGTGTCAAGTCTACCCTCAAAAGATCAGAGGAGGTGCATAAAGTACCTCTCCACTCCTCGTTCCCCGAACCACAGGGGCGGCAAGCCGTTGGTCTCAATTGCTCTCTATGATCATTAGACGGCGGTCGTTACACAACATGTTAGAGGCCTGCACTTGCAGTGGCGGTTGAAGCTCTGATACCAGGTCCAACGGCTCGTTCGGCGACTTTGTACCACTCGAAGACGAAAGTTCATCGAAATGCAAAAAGCCATAATACTAAACAAATCTAGGATTTCGTAAAATCCTAGTTTTTGGCAAAATCCTAGGTTTTAGGCCAAAAACCTGGATCAGCTTAGGACGATGATGGCCGAAAGAAGTCTACGATTTTGCCATGTGCCGGCTTTTCCTGATTCTGCCATCGTACTGCGACATATCTACAATCAATAGATAGTATAAAATGAAGTCCCTTTTTGCGTTTCTCTGTCTGTCTGTTGTGGAATTCGCTAGCTCCTCATAAACTATGCAACGGATTTTGATGCGTTTTATTTTGCAATAAATGTATAACACACGCCGGGTAAATGCATTATTCCCGCGGGAAATAGAGTTGCAGCGGGTGAAACCGCTAACGGGCCGCTAGTGATTTATAAATTTATTTGGTAGTAAAGTTTATCAGCTCATATACTAAGAGCAAAACACATCCTCCACACATTGATTACACAGAATTCCTCCCCATCTTTAAACCTGAAACGTAATTTCAAAATGTTCAACACATTTTTTTAGATAGTACAAGAACCACCCGTTAATGAAAGATTTTGAAATATTGTTTATAAACTGTGAATCGCTAATATTATCGTAAATAATACTTTTTTCTGGCATTAAGGCTAAACATCATACTAGTGGCGCCCCCAAACAGGAAAAAATCCCTGGCTGATCACGCTGGTCCTCTAGAAACCAATATATGAATTACCGGCAATAACTAACCACGAAGTTTATTTAAAACTAACGTGCCAAAATCGAAAGTGGCCACTTTCCGCAATTTCGGCATACATAACATAACTAAAGCGCACAGTTTTCCCAATGTTTTGTTGATTCTAAAATTTCTTCGTTATTCATAATGTGATTTCCCAATCACTTGCGTATTTAGTCAGTGATTTGAGTGATTTTCTGTGCCTCTTACGGTAAACCTTAATTTATTGTTTACTTATCTGCACCTCACCAATGCTTAACTCACATACTCAGTTTCTCCATACTCGCAAAGCCAAGTTGCACTACCAGCATATTTCTTTGAGTCAATTCTGTTTGCTTACTCGTCACAGAATATAGTACGGGGTGTAAGGGACGAAGGGACGGCGTAACAAAAACTTTTCAGGCGTGACCATGAAACTGAACAACTTTTCCCATGAAACATGTATTGGTTTGGTAAACTAGAAAAACATCTACTTTGCATATAAAGTCGGTCAGCTCATCGTGACCGTGAATTTTGCATAGGAGTACATTTTCTTTCTTGTTTCCCAGTTTCCCACCATTGGCTCCATAGTAAAAGTTGTCCAGTTTCATAGTCTAATCATGCCTGCAAAGTCCCTTACACCCTGTATAATAAGTAGTACCAGTTGTTGCCGGCAATGATAGTCATAACTTAGGTGTGGTACTTACGTAGGTGTTGGTAAACAAACGCCAATAGAAGACTGCTATTGCCATCTAGTGGCTAGTAGCTGAACCTAATTTGTAGGACTGCGTTTGCTTGATGATGACGACTGTGATTGTCCATTTCGTTTAATGAACAGGTTTTTCATAGTAACATAGAAAAAACTAAATTAAAACTTATCTAAGTCTAATTGACCTATCAGGATGTTCTAAAATGTATTTCTTGAATATCTCTTTAACCTCTATGTTGATGCACTTCGAATAAGTGTCAGTAGATTGGTATTAAATTTGATTTAGGTAGTCACTCTGAAGGTGTCGTAAGGGGCGAATAAGGGATAAATTCATTCAATCCCTGGATGAATTTCGCAATTGCATTGCCACATCTTGAATTGCCCTCATCAACCCGCCCGCCGAGCGTGGTGAGTATGACAAATACCAAATACAAGGGGAGGCCCATGTTCAGCAGTGGACTTTATTCTGGCTGTTATTAAGTCAATCTCATCCTGAATCCTAACAGTCAGGTTGGCTGCTCACTTTTAGTCTTGTAACTAACGTCAATAGCTGGTTATAACTATTCGGATTGACTCATGAAGCTGAAAATCGGCATGTAGGTACTTCTTGACTTCCTGATCGGGTTCTAAAATTGCTCAGAACATTACATACATTGCCCCCTGCCTGCATAAAGCATCACAATTGTGATTTACACCCGCCATCCTGACTCACAGGGCCTACCGACATGTGATACGAACATTAATTATGGATTTAACAGATTAAGTAGGTACGCCTTGTAACCTTTACTTTTACTGCTACAACAGTCCACTGCTGGACATGGGCCTCCCCCTATCGGGGGATATTGACATACCCACCACCCACGCCTGGCAGGCGGATTCTCGAGCGCAATGCAAAATGTTCAATTTACAGGTAACGCTGCTTTTTACGACACCCACAGGCAGGTTCGGGTTGATGCTATTCTAAGCCGGCATCGCACGTTGAAAAATACTGTGGAAATCTTGAGGTTTCTATAATGTAACTATAATTGAAAGTAACTTATTCAGATATTCTGATTTTTATGTAGGTTTACGCGACTTACTTGTTATTTAGTTGGTAGAAGGTGTAGCCCTCTAAGTTTCGGCTGGTTACGACAGCCTTCTTCTCGGAGGACGAACAATCACACACGCGCGACCGCCAGTTGCGATTGTCAACTAAATAACAAGTAAGTCGCGTAAACCTACATAATGAGTGATACTTGTTCGTTTAATAATAAAATTCTGATTTTTTATTATCATAAAGTGCACAATATCCTGTGAGTAAAGTAAATCTTTTGGTTCTACTTCTAACTCGCAACCTTTGGCCATAGTTCCGCTACTCCACACAAGATGGCGTTACCTGTCCTGTAAAATTGCGACTGTGTTACGAATCAATATTGCCTTGCGACTACGTGGAAGCCATAATATTCATTAGTCGGGTACCTATCAAACCCTTATTAGATAAGTTCCGATGAGATTTAATAATAGATAAGGTGTTTAATATAATAGTTTATATAGATACCGCTCAAGGTTAGATTTTGATTGGGGAACTTCGTGCATTAATTGCTTACAATATTGGTTGAAATGACATTTATTACGTCGAACTTAATTCCTGTAAACACCTGTGTAACACCGTTGCAAATCAGATCTGGGGCCGCTGCTGTGCCCCCGCCAAGTCGAGCGCGAAGGAAACACTTCCGTTACCATCCTTTACTAGAACAATTTCGTTTCGCCGCATTTTCAGGCCCCTATTTGAGAATCTCTGGATAAGACGTACAACGCAGAATTTTTCGTAATCCAGTAAGCTATTATCACATAGGTACTTCAAAATCGTCATTCCATTGGTTATTTAGTTCCGAAGTAAAGCGTTTTACATGTGTTAAATAAGAAGATTTTAAAGACGTGCTAAACATACTAAACATAACGCCGTGTGATGCCGGCTTAGAATGTCAT